CCTCACTCACTCACTCACCACGTCGATTCCTGATACACGCGCCGCACATTCAGTATATTTACTTTATACCCCCCCCCCCCCCAAAGTTCATTTCCTTGGCAGTGGTGGATACCACATCTTTTACCTTTTACAACCCCTAACACGTTTACACTTTATTGCACCCTTCACCCAAAAACAAAAGTAAGTAATAATAGCTACACTGTATATTCTATTCACGAAATTACGCCGAAGCGCGACTGAAATTTTTCCATCTCATTTGGAGATGTTTCTAATATGCCAGCGAAAAAACATGATTTTTAACCTCTTTTTGGCTAGAAAACAATTTTTTCAAGAATAATAACGATTAAGGATAAAACGATTCCAGTGTTTGCTGTACCCACTCACACCAAGGGCAAAATATTATCCAACCCCAGGCGTCTGTTTTGCTACTTATCTAAAGACAACACGTCGGCGCAGTTGCCAATAATAGTCGGAAAGTGGATGGTTGGTGGGTGCTCTGGAGGAGTCTTTAGCTACGTCTTTCTCCCCAAGCTTGGCGCTCATATGATCTTATGCAGTTGTGAGCGCCGTGAAAACTTACTATTAAAAAACAACAACCAAACCCGGTGCTATCGTTCTGTCTCACCTCATTCTTCTTTTGCCTTTGTTATTCTCTTACAACACTTCTTATTGCTGGCTGGCATGTATCTGATCTAATTGTGAAGCATGCGGACAAACTGAGGTTGTTTTTTTTCTCCTCAGCTTCAAGCCATAATGAAATAGATACATCAAGCTTATAGGTGAAACTGTTACTTGTTACAATTGATAAGTACGAAATAATAAAAGACAGGTTTTAGTTAAAGAATAATGGCATCAATAGAATTCTACAAATTTGACCCTTGTGTCGATTTTTGGCTAATACCTTAATTTGTGGATTGCGAGAACTAACTCATTTTGTCAGCACACCTCACAATAATGTGTTATATTGCAAGTGCCGTTTGGACGCTAATTAAAAGAAACAAAATTGGTCTCATAGATAACCCTATAGTTAAACCCGAACACATACTTAGCAAACATTGGAACACTGCTTTTCTTTCTGACAGCGCTACCAAACACAATATGTGGGTGGTTGGCTGGTGCTCTGGTGTTAATTGCTTCTTCTTTCCTATCAAACATATATCGTCCTTATCTCCCCTCCTCCTTTTTTATGTTTGTTACTCTCTTGTAACACCTCTGATCTCCTGGCACTCATATGGCCTTATGCAGTTGCGAGCGCCGTAAAACCTCTACTAAAACAAAGCAGAAAATTACCCTCATAGCACCGGTCAGATCACTTGAGTCACACACAGTCGTGGCAACTATTTTTAAAAAAAGTTATAGTAGGGGTTTAACGGCGCTCGCAACTGCATAATGATTTATTAAGGTCACATGAGCGCCAAGGGGTGGATGTCAACAGAGAAGTATTTACAGGGAATCGGGCTTACTCTGTTCACCTCTCTAGCTTCAACAGCACAAGGTCTGCTTCGACTTCAAGGCACCCTGGAAATAGAGGGTCACAAGAAAGTGACAAACATATAAAAGAAGTAGAGGAAAAATAACAATAGTAAGGATTAAAGTAGCAGTTCTCTGTTGCAGTTCAGACACAGTATGAGGATGGCATTGATGAATCAGCCCATTTACAATTCTACTGTGCATAAGTAAAGGTTAAAATCCCCTCTATGGGAATGCCCTAAAGACATTTCAGTTAGGGGCACCGCTCCGGGGGGGGGGCGGGGTGACAACTTATTTTGCCGGTATAGTTTCCTCAGCGTTTATAGTACATGTAAACACACTATTTGTGAGGCAGGGTGGTGGAATCAGGCTCTCGTCAAATTTTGGGCATGTAGAGTTATTGGTATCATCTGTTCATTTGTCTTTATTTGGATAAAAAATATCCATTTATCTTGAATACATGTCGAGATATTTGCGAAAGAAGGAGGTGGGGGTCACCTGTTTTCAGAGGTAAAATCAGTGAGAAAATGGCCGCCAAAGTTTGGCCATTTCCTTAGCTTATGAGTCCGTGGTAACTGAAGATTTACTTTTTTTGTTCTTTTAATCAGTTTTACCAGAAAAATCAACACAGAAACGAGTTCTTTAATGGGCATGAAAGGTGTTGAGCCAAACACAAAGAACAGGATTGAAATTCACAAACCTGCAAGTTTCTTCAATTTGATTATTTTGACGAGAGCCTGATTCCATCACGCTGCCTCACATTTCTTTATCTACTTTCAGTCAGTTTTACTGTATACAAATACAGGCAATTCATAAAAATGCCAAAACACAATAAACAAGACTGATATAGAAATTCATTCAGACCAACTGCAGTGAGGTTAATGAACACACAGAGCTACAAATGAAGAGAGAGAGAGAGAGAGAGAGAGAGAGAGAGAGAGAGAGAGAGAGAGATTGTACCATACATAATGCATTGCTGCTATAAATATCTGTATCATTCCATTGCTAAATTATTTTCAGATTTATATTAATTATTATTAAACAAGATAAACTCAGTTTCTTTGCGTTTTGTGTTTTATTTCAAATTCAGATAACAATTGATCGTATTTATGCTTTGATACATTAAAAAAACTAATTATTTCACATACAACATATTCATGCTCAACATATTGTAATGGCGAATTGCAATGGTCATAATACAATTGCTTTAAAAAAAAAAACCCTAAAAAAACAGCTTACCTAAGCGTACCTTATAATTCGAGCAAGAGAGAAAATATCTAAAAAGTTGGATCTTTAATTACAGGCATTTTCATCTTAGACAACTAGAAACTGTCATTGTGTTATATGACCAAAAAGGTGTGAAATGAACTTGATGTACATGCTTTTTACAAACAAAATTTGTACGCATAAAAAAAGATCTGAACATACCTGATGCTACACACGTACACATCAGACCCAAGACTCCAGTATAATGGCACATACGGTGCTTTCTGTTCTGCTATTTGAGCAATGGCTCCGGAAAAAAGGACACAAGAAAGACAACCTCCCCCCCCTACAAAACACAACCCCACAAATCGAATATTTC